TTAAGTCCGAATATCATGTCAAGTCTAGTAGAGCATCTTAACATAATTAATCGGTTAATTTATCAGTCTGAGCATAGTCATTAGTAATTGTTTATATTATATTTCAGTTTGATCAAGTCACGAGCATCAACGCTACCTTTATTTTCACGGATCAGGTGGGGACTCAGACTAAGTACTACATTGATTATAATTACGGTACCATGTTTGAGGTATGTATTTCAGTTGAGGTATCCACTCGGAATGGTCGCCGGTCCATTATGGGTTCTAGTGGCCCTAGTCTGCCCACTAAAGTGTGCACATGGTGTCCGGCTTTTCCGGCAGATGAGGTAACGGTCAGGGTCACGTTTGCGTGACGATTTCAGATTCATGTTCATGTTATTACCGGCTTGAGGTTGAGATTATGTATATATTGATATCATGATGTTGTTATTATTTTCAATGTTTACATTAGTATGAGTTTCCACGGAGCACGGTGCCATAGTGCTCATTTCTCATTGTTATCATGTTTTTCAGGTCAGGACGTCAGGCCGGGAGTGTGAGCTGACGAAGGCTTCAGGACTTTTATGTTTTGACTGTATATTGACGATTTACGTTTCTGCTGATGATGGCTTTTGACGAACTTATGTTTTGACCGGACTTTTGGAAAACATTATGCTTTCAGTATCAGTATGATTTTATTAAAAGTGTTAAATAACGGTTTTCCAAAATTAAGTCACGTCTTTAAGGTAGCACCCCGAATCAGTTTTCGCAAAGTAAAAGGTTTTATTTTTAAATAACTTTGCGAAATTTTCGCACTCTGATTTTACGATAAGGCGGGGTGTTACATGGGTGGCCTCCTGTTTGGAACATTCCTCGTGAGTGGGCAAGTGTGAAGACCAAACCCACCATGACTAAGGCCTTCGGGCTGGGTGGTCGCTTGTTTGGAACACCCCTTAGGTTGGGCAGGTTGGTCGTATACTCGCGCCTCTGGGCCGGGTGGCCTCCTGTTTGGAACATTCCTCGTGGGTGGGAAAGTGTAAAGACCAAACCCACCATGACTAAGGCCTTCGGGTTGGGTGGTCGCTTGTTTGGAACATCCCTTGGGGTGGGCAGGTTGGTCGTATACTCGCGCCTCCGGGCCGGGTGGCCTCCTGTTTTGAACTTTCCTCGTGGGTGGGCAAGTGTTAAGACCAAACCCACCATGACTAAGACCTTCGGGCTGGGTGGTCGCTTGTTTGGAACATCCCTTGGGGTCGGCAGGTTGGTCGTATACTCGCGCCTCCGGGCCGGGTGGCCTCCTGTTTGGAACATTCCTCGTGGGTGGGCAAGTGTGAAGACCAAATCCACCATGACTAAGGCCTTCGGGCTGGGTGGTCGATCCTAGTGTTGGGTCATGAAGACATGGATAGCTCGAGCAGACCTCGGAGACAGGTCGATGATTTCTTCTTGGTTATATTTGGTTTGTTATCATTGTACATTTGTTCCTAACCTAGTGGCAGGTTGAGGGAAGACAAAATCCACCATGACTAAGGCCTCCAGGCTGGGTGGTTGATCCTAGTGTTGGGTCGTGAAGACATGGATAGCTCGAGCAGACCTCGGAGGCAGGTCGAGGATTTCTATTCGGTTCTATTTGATCTGGTACTATTGTACATTTTTTCCTAACCCCAATAGCAGGATGAGGGAGTTCATTATGGATGATTCGGGCAATACGAAAACAAAATCCACCATGACTAAGGCCTCCGGGCTGGGTGGTCGATCCTAGTGTTGGGTCGTGAAGACAGGGATAGCTCGAGCAGACTTCGGAGGCAGGTCGATGATTTCTTCTTGGTTATATTTGGTTTGTTATTGTTGTGTTATCACTGGGTTTTGTAAAACATTTACTGGGATTGCTATGTATATTATTTGTGTGTAGTTTATATGATGGATTGTATGTAGAATTTAATGACTTGCAGAGGAATTAAGGTGCAGAAATGGGAGATAGGATGAGAGAATTTAGAGAGAGAATTTAGAGAGAGAAATGAGAGAGAAAGAGAGAGAGACGATAGAGAGAAATGATTTGGCATAACAAATTCTGCCTTTCCCACAAGCAAAACACCCAACATAAAGCATCTTTTTGGAACTACCTTGCTTACATCATAAATC